AATAGGTGAATAATCAATTTATCCAGTGTCAGGTTACTTATTTCAGTGAATCCCTGAGTCAAATAATTATCTCAAAATGTTATCACCACAGAGCTTAACATAAGAGTGACGGTAGAACATAGTCGATTAGAAACTTGAATTGGCAGAAGTCAGAATTCATGCACTGGCCATTGGATCGGGTCTCAGTGGCTTAACGGTCTACGAGCTCTCTGGCCTTGTAACCTGAACGTCCTGGGTTCGAACTCCAGTGGGTGCGTACCGATGAAGAGTCCCAAACTAGGACGAAACAGCTGTCCAGTACTCCCAGGTTTTCCAATGGTTCTTCAACCGACGTCAGCTCATGATCAAATGCCTACAAACCAATACTTGAATTAGAAATTCGTTCATTAAACCCAATTAATAGGTGGTTACACCATGTGATTTTATCTAACTACTTAAACAGGAGAGGAAAGGATCAATTTTAGCTATGAAACAAATGCTTATACAGTAATTCAATATCTAGACAATTCTATCTAAACTTAGCATAAAGTGATAACACCTTCAGAGGAAATAACTAATTACACTTTGCTTTCAAACTAAACTATACATGTTTTTAGTATCCAAGGTGAATATCCGTGCCCACGCTCAACTGCTATACGAAGCCGAGAGAGAAGTTAGCAGAAGTTATTATTTTTGGTAGGTAACCTGACAGGCTCATTTTCACAACTGTCAAAGTGTTTCACTAGCTACCACTGCTATTAGTCTAGCCCTTGTATCATAAAATCTGAAGCGTGTGATGCAAAAAATAACACCTGAAAATCTGCTCTAGGCAATACTTTTACAGACCAGTATGATGATTTTGTGAAAGAACGGAGGTGTATATAGAGGAAACCATCAATCGGGATCGCGATAGACTGCCTCTATTCGCCTTAAATAGACGTGAATTCCCGTGATACTAGAGAGCAGTGTTTCTCTTACGCGCGCACACACACACACACATATTCCTAGAGAATGAATATACATATTACACTATCGATAATTGAAGGACAATTATCTTTTTGATTGGGCACTAGTCAGTAACTAGTGTAATGTGTCTGTGTGTTTCTAGTCCTATCTTTGGTTTGAAATGTGGCCACCATGCTAGGCGGCTCGCCATCACGGTGCAATGTGATGCCTTCCTGCCGATTACCTTCAACCATCTAAGACAATTATCTTTCTAAAAATGAAGGCCAGCACATAGAGTATGTGATAGTTAAACCCTATCTCACTTTGCGATGCGCGTGAATTTAGTTTAGGCTGTTATTGTATTTCTACAGTAATTACTGGAGTAACACACAAAACACCAAATGAATAACATTTTCTCTAACACAACACTCATGATAACTACTTTTGACACGTATTTCTCATTTGCTAAAATAAAACATAGATTTTTCCCGAAAAACTAGTCATATTTCCCAAGTGTGGAGTCTAAAAACATAACCTAACCACTAAATACAGGCAATTTTCTTTGTTTTCCACGTGTCTATTATACAGGATAAGAGAAATAAACAATTCTCTTCCTCCTAGAATATACAAGAAATATCGATAAATCGTTGGGTAATACGGCCAAGTTAGGCCTCTATGAACAAAAACATCACATATATATATACTGAGCCTGTGTATTTGAATTTCAAAACTGTCTGCAAAAGTAGTATGCCTTGATAGCTAGCCTAAAACACCACACAATGTGAGAGCCTATCAATCATTGCTTAACAATAGTTGGAATATTTAAGTAATTCATATTGCTTAAAAGTGAATAATAATTTTATACAGAACTATTTACCACTCATGTTGGAGACAAAGAAACTCTAAAACGAAATTCAAGAGCTAGTTTGTAAGGAAATGATCACGGATTGACATCAGTTAGAGAACCATTGAAAACCATAGAGAGTACTGGACAGCTGTTTCGTCCTAGCTTGAGACTCTTCATGTGGTGGTGAGTAATTAACCATTCGGCTACTGGGAGGGTATCTGCCGACTTTCATTTCCTGAAATACTGAGAACACCTGTCAACATATCACTGTTTTTTCATACACTTGAGGAAATAATGTCTACAAAGGTGATCTTCAGTGGGAAACGAGAAGACAGGGATATCCTGGACCGACGTGAAGAACCAAGAAGACCTGGATTTCGCGTGTGGATGATTTATGTTCGATATCACACAAAATCGAAGAATAACAAGCGAAAACCGACAAACTCGTCGAAGTAACCGGCGAAGACAGGACTCCAGGTGAACATAGACAAGACGGATGTTATGAAAATAACCAACCAACAACAACAGCAGGAACATCCTGCGCCAATCACCATCAACGGGAGGGATTTGAAAGAGGTTACTTCATTCACTTATCCAGCTAAGGAGCATTGTCTCAACTACAGGCAGTCGGAACGAACGAGGATGTCGAATCGAGCGAGAATCGGGAAGGCGAGAAACACATTCATCAACCAACTGAAACCGATCTGGAAATCTTCGTCACTCAGCATCAACAACAAAATTCGGTCGGATCTTCAACACAAACGTCAAGTCAATCAGTTTTTCTATACGGATCAGAAACTTGGCGGGCGGGTCACAAACAATATTTCCAACAGCCTGTTGCAGACGCTACCTTTATCAACAACTGTCTTCGCTGGATCTACTATAGTGAAGATCAGATGCCCGGGCCGGGCCGGAAACAATCACCAACGAGAAACTATGGCTGGGAACAAACAAAACAAGAACCAATCGCCAACCGACAAATAAGCAGGAGAAAGTGGAGATGGATTGGACGCTCGCTCACTGAGGAGGCCACTGGGTGACATCGCCGCGCGTCAGGCCATTGTTCAAGTGGAACCCGGAAGGGAGGCGGAGAGTGGGACGTCAGTGCAAGGGTGACATGGAGATCGTGTGAAGAGGAGTTGAAACAATATGGACTAACATGGATGCAGTGTGAAAAGTACGGTAGAAGGCAGAAGCAAGTGGAGACGTGCAGTTGGAGCCCTATGTTCCACTAGGAACCTAAGGGAACAATTATATATATATATATATATATATATATATACTATAAACTCGTTTACAGACATTCCATGCTCGCTCAATGTAGCTGTAACTGCCGAAAAATTCATAACACAACATAACTATATTCATATATAAAGTCATTACAATCGACCACATTGAATCATTGAATCACTTACAAGCATACTATGTCACGTGTGTGTCACCTGACAATCTACATAACTATTTTGGATATATTTCATCCACTTATAACGAATAAATGAATCTTTTCACATAGCAACTCTATAGAGTCGAATTGAAATTAGCTGCTGCAAAACAAAAACCTCTCATCGCCAACCTCCAATGGACGAAAGAAAATCTTCCCACCACAAAATCTAACGTCTTTCCATACGGATGAACAAAACAGTCTTTCAATACTCAACTATTATTCCTAGTGATCGTCTAAGTAATATCTACAACTGGGAAGTTAATTACACCCTTACTTACTAAACTTTTCAATGTTCTGTATTTATTCTTTTATACACTGAAAAAAGGCATATAAAATTTTCTAAAAATAAAATAAACACAAATAGACACACTTGAGCATGCATGGTATTGCATATGTCAGTCTCAAACTGGATATGAATTACAATTCATATTTGTTATACAAATATATATATATATATATATATATATATATATGCCTGTTAAATGGTTAGCTGGCCAAAAATTACTTCACTTAATTATCAAAACGCAGTACAGTTAGATGAAATCATCTTAGGAAACTAGGCAAAATAATGTGTTAGAGTCAATAGAGAGCTTTAGTTTTTTCGTTTCATTTTCGTGTTAAAATCAGACAAACTTATTCAACAGACCTCTTTGAAAGTCAACAGTTTAGTGTCACGCTTTTTTAAATTAATGTAAGTAATTTCTTTAGGTTATAGTCTTAATACATTAGAATTGTAATCAATGTATATTGTTTGTATGTATGTTGTAGGCAATCGATGATAACCAGTGTAAATTAAAATGAAGTCAGGTTATTCTGTCCCACTGCTTCTTTGTGTTGTACTAAAAAAATTTATAAGGGGGAAAAAATTGTACAGAATTGTTATCGTTTTGTTATAGGCATACAATAGATTTTGATGCATTGGTAACACTTCACACACAAACAAACAAAGGACTTTACAAGTTCATCGCATAACTCAGACTGAATTTTTAAAAGCAAAACCTTGCACAGGAATACAACACTTCATCGTGCCACACTCTATATACCATATATCGGTGGAAGACAAATATTCAAAGTAACTGTAATGAACAGAAGTCATTTCTCCCACCCCCCGGCCCCAACCCGGCAGTTTACGCTTCCCCCACGTGGCTCAAATCAAAAGTGTATCGCCACAGCTACTGTATGAGAGTTGGTGATACCACCTAGTTGCAGGGATTCGAATCTGGCAACCGCTTACTTGTTGAAAGTCAAGTGCTCAGGCGAATAAGTCACACATCGACATTTCAAAAAGTAAACAGTCGCCGTATGAAATGAATACTAAGATTGTGGGAAGCAAAAAAGATTGACATTCACAAATCACAGGATTAATTTATCAATTATCTGTCAAGTTGCACAACTGTTACCTACAATACGCAGGATACACACATTAGGATACAAGATACAAGACCTTTTCAGCTAAAATAATTCTGCAGGAAAGTCATATAGCCATAATGTAATAGATATCATAAAGATATACTGTGTAATCGCCCGCCAAGTGAATCACCCCCTTAACCGTTTAAATCCTCCCAAACTACTCAGTGTATCTACATGTAAGCAGGACGTGAAGAAATGCACTTGAAATACGCTGGACTTTCACAACACAAGAGAGAGGGAGAGAGACGTAAAACTACAGAATGCAATAATTCATATCTTCTGTAAAACAAAGTCATGAGGTAAAACAACAGTCAGTATACAAGAAAGTGATTAACAATAATTATAATAGCTTAAGGTAAGTATCTTCACACTTACACAGACTGGGGTCCATTAGGCGATGAAATAACACCATTATCCAATCTGACATCATTGTGCTCAGAATTATTTGTTGAAGTGACAGTAGAATGACGGTCGACTGGACTGCTAATCGTAGTGACATTTGTTAAAGTTACCGGTAAGCCATGATCAATTATTGTTCCACGTTTCTTATGTGACATAGCTGCAAGCTCTGGTGAATATTCCTATTTATAATGATAAACATAAATAATAACAGTTATGTTAACAGAGTGATTATATGTATATTAAAGAAAATATGACACTAGCATAACACAAATAATCGCATAGTTTTAAAAAATTGCAAACACTTTTATTTATTCAGAATACGATAAATTGATTAGTATCTATGGCCTTCTAGTATTGTTACATTCAAAAGTTCATAAGTTTTCTTTACTTTAAGAAACTGAGGAACAATGAATCTCATACTTTCTTTTACTCTCCCTTAACAATCTTAAGGATTATGCCACTATATTCACGTGGATCAGAGGTATGAAATCGAACTACTGATTCAAAGACAATAAGAATACGAATAATCTATCTAAATAGTAGATCCTTCAACACTGAGAGTCAAATAACTTTGGTCAATGACAAGGAAAAATAACGGATAGATCACAATTATAGAACATAAGATAGACACACTTGATGAAAACTATCAGTCTTAGACCTTAAATGATAGAGTTTGTGTCACCAATATATAAAATACAAAGAATTCAGGAGGCAGGAGACAAAACAGCAATACATACATACATAAAATCGTCTTGTAAAACACTGAGTGAAAGAAACTTTCAAAACACTTCAAGTATCACCAGGATTCGTTGGAAAATTTCATCATGAGCTGAGATCAGTCAGAGAACCACTGAAAAACCTACAGGAAGTACTGGACATCTGTTCTATCTTAGTTTGGGACTCTTCATCAGTACGCACCCACCACAGAAGTTCGAACCCAGGACCTTCTGGTTACCAGGCGAGCTCATAGGCCATTAAGCCACTGAGACCCGATCCAATGGCCAGTGCATGAATTCTAACTTCTGCCAATTCACGGACCATTGGATCGGGTCTCAGTAGCTTAATGATCTACGAGCTCACCTTTAACCAGAAGGTCCTGGGTTCGAGCTCCTGTGGTGGGTGCGTACTGATGAAGTGTCCCAAACCAGGACAGAACAGATGTCCAGTCCTTCCTGCAGGTTTTTCAGTGGTTCTCTGACTGATGTCAGCTCATGATGAAATTCTCCAACCAATCGAACAAAATCACTGCAAAAGCAATAATTCAAAGTATTATCAGAATTCTTGCGAGATGAACATCCTCTGAAATATGTATTTCAGTGTGGATTTCATTTCAATGAGAAGCTGTGACCGGTGGATTGTGCCATGTCAGTTACTCACTAACTAGAGATATATCATGAATTGATAGGATTTATAATTCATGGGTCAACAGATTTCAACACACAGGTGTAATGCTAGAATTCTTATACTGTAACATAAAGGTCCTGAATTTGATCCGTGAGGAGATGGAAAAGCTATTTATAATGATCTGATCTTTTTTTCTAAATGGTTTCAGTTGGATATGAAGGCGAACCTGATTTCGAATGCTAAAAGTCTTTTGACACACTTTTTATGACATATTGAAAATAAGTTGATATCCACCCAAGGTTCAGTAAATGAAACATGTACATTTTTGATAAAAATTGATGTCTCATACTTTGATGAGTAAGAAAGGAATTAAACGTACGATTAACTTCTCAGAAGTAAACGCCCAATTTAATGAATCACAACTCCACTAGTAAACACTGTGTTGTACATGTAAAACTAACCAATTATTAACTTTCGGATCATTTCATATCGTAAGCTAAACACCTACCAAATAAGTTATCACTTTTGATTTACATTAACGCGTACTGATGTTCGATTAAATACATTTGTGAGGAATAAAGTATGACTTAATCATTTAAACTTATTACATGGTATATTAGTAGAAGCAAAAGCAACAGAGTTTCCATTTCAACATACTCAATTGAAGTGTGAATGATTTTCAATGAGATACAAACAGGAAATAATACCTAAATTTCTAGTTTCTATTCAGTAGAAACATTTCAGAAGCCTAATTTGGTTCATATCTTTGAATTCCGAGTGAAATATGGGGCTTCAAGTTTTGAGGTTTCAGTGTCGATGGCGTTGTTTATGCGGGTTAGAGTTTCTAACTTTATGTTCAACCTTTCTTTAATTCCGGGTTTACTAATAACAAGGCGAGGTATAGGAGTGCGTCAGCCAGAAATAGAACCCCCATTTACCTCGTGGTGGGTCATTCTATTATTGAATCACAGACGCACTTGATTTCTGCTTAGACTATCCCGCGATCCTGCTGGTTTGGTAGAATCATTTTTTGTAAACGAATTAGGATGATTGTGAGGATATGGTTTGTATCTATGCTTGAATCAACAGTCATTAACATAAAATTAAACTGACAAAACACGATCAAAGGGCAAGGAAAAGCAAAACACAGACTGATTGTGCTGAAAGACTCAGTCGTTGATTGAAACTTTATTCACAAGGGCTGTACCCAGTAATCATGTAAATAATTGAGACGTATATGCTCAACTTAACATACACATATAAGAATGTAGGCGGGTATGATATTTTCGCAATAAAAATACTCCAGATGACAATTAAGTTTCTCTTGCCACATGTTTAATCGTAGAATAAAGCAGACTGCAAGATAAATTAATGAAAGTCAGACAATATGACAGTCAATCAGTTTTATTCTTGGCAGGTAATAAAATATTCATATTTATCGGGTATTCAAAGTTCATTTATCAGTCAAAAACCACAGCCATTCAATGATTCTCATAATACGCTTATTATATGCAGTAAGATAAGTATCAGTCAGCTATCATGAGAAGACTGACATCTTTGGTAACAGACTATACCTTTTATAAAAAGCCAAACTTTGTTAATAATCAGAAGGTCCTGGGTTCGAACCCCGGTGGATGTTTACTGATGAGGAGCAAAAACTGGGACGAAACAGCTCTCCCATACTCCCTAGTTTCCAATTCGTGATCAAATTTAAAACAAATCAAATACCTACAAACTAACTCAAGAAAATACCCATCTAATTAATTCGACACTAAAAATGATGCAACTTGAGTGCAAACAAGTGGCTAATTTATTATAGCCAGTGTTTCCAGGTCCTTGAATTATTGAAAAACAATAGACTCAATAGACTCCAACTCCTTCTGAACATGAGCATTAACCTAATGCAATACTTTTCGGCGGTGGCAATATCCCCGACAAATATAAATAGTGCAGAACTGATCCTAAGAGCACCAGCAATGAAAATAAAAAACTCAGATTCTCTCGATTTCACAGTACACATTGAGTTTAAGACCATAGAGTGACCTCGATTAGAAAACAGTGAAGTCATTAACCTAAACCGAGATCAACAACAAGGTGAATCAACAAACACACACACACATACACATACACATAGACAAATATGAAACGAAATACATCATTGTCGCTTGTCTTTTTAGCATTCGCTTTCCTTCCCCATAATATTACAGAGTTTTGATCAATTGAGGAATGTTCAAAACGAAAATTGGGCAATCATGATGTATAAGTATACTGACATATACTAGTTTATACTAAGACAGGCAGAGTTGATACTAAATGGGCAATGATTACGCAAAATATTTCAAGGTCATTAAAGATAAATGCCCATGGGGTAGTACGGACATATAAATAATGGACACATATCAACTCAAGTATTTGACGTAAATCGGATACTCACGTGCTTCTAAATAAAAGCAAATTCTAATCGAAGCGTTTTTTTTTCTAAAGTTAGATACTTGTGAATGTCAGAAACAATTGCTTAACAGATCGATTATCACTAAATAAGAAAAAACGTATTCCCCAAACTACCAAACTAGAAGATAGAAGGAGCAATATACGAATACACAATGACTATAGGTAGGAAGATCAAATAGAAATAAACAGGAAATGAGATGAAAATATTTCAGTGAAAGAGACGATTGATTTTTGTCCCTTATAAAACCATAGACCAGAAAACAAGCTAGTATAACTATGGTAAAACGTACGATAAGCAGAAGTTTGGTAGTATAGAACTATTACGTTCTGCATACTCAGTTACCTTGGATATAAACCACACTTATTGAGATAGAGCTGATAATACTACGGGGATATCAAAACAAGAATCGGAAAAGCAAGACAAGCTTTCATTACTCTTAAGTCTGTGTGGAGGTCAACAGCACTCAGAATCAAAAATAAGACCCGAATTTTCAACTCCAATGTGAAGTCAGTGCTACCTACTATACGGATCAGAGACTTGCACTGAGCGTCATAAAGAGCATCTCAAACAAACTACACACCTTCATTAACAGTTGTCTTCGCTCAATACTACTCAAGATCAGATGGCCGGCCAGAAAAGATCAGCAACAGGAATCTCTGGGAATGAGCGAACCAACCCAGCAGGAACCAGTTGTGCAAGAAATATGCAGAAAGAAATGGAGAAGGATTGGCCATACTCTGAGAAAACAAACCATCAAGTGACATCACTAGACAAGCCATTGCTCGAGTGAAACCCGAAAGGGAAGCGGCGAGTTGGTCGTCAGTGTGAGGGTGACTTGGAGGTCATGTGAAGAGGAGATGAAAACATGTGGACAGACTTGGAGCCAGGTGAAAACTCTACAAGAGAACCGAACGCAATACTATTAAGTTGTTCAAACTGAATTAGGACGGAACGAGACGTAATCTTCTGAAAGTCAAGTAGTTAAGCAAATGAGCTACAACTTTTCCACTTCCTGAAAACTACTCTGACTAATACGAAAGATATGAAGGCATACAAGTTTAGTTAACTGTATGGTTGGTTTTCGTTACCCAATATATATTGCAACAGTGAAAACAGTAGTTTAGACAATAAAATGATGTCAAATAATTATGTAACTATTTCATACTATTTTGGTTACATACCGAAGTCTTAATTGACAATATTGTCCAGGCTTTGCAGTTAAATCACTCATCTTAGAGAACAAAACTATATCAAAATCATCCATCTGAGCTACAAATCTGTTTTATTATTATTCAATACTCTACCAAAAAGACAATAAAGAAGCATATTTCCAGATAGACAGAGAAATCCCTCCTCTGCCTTCAATATCAAACAAATATACGAAGGCATAGAGTTAATCAAGAGAGATTATGATCAAGAACATGAGGAAGGGAATTTTAAAGATGCGTAAATCAACTCATAACAACCTCCCTTATGAGATATGAGATATATTTGCCTAGTAATGCAAATGACTTAACAAGAAACAGATTTGGAAATTATGCGACTAATCAAATCCCCAAGAGAGAAAAAAACTATCCTAATTGTCCGACAATAATTAGGTGTAGTAGTCAGTTTCAAAAGTTATAATCTACTAACTTGCAAACCACTGGTCTAATTCATTGTATGGAAAGTTTGTTGCAAATTAACATACACCTGATAAACACCTTAAAACATGTTTGTTTGATAGTTTCAGTAATCCAGTGCAATTGAAGACTTTGATCTATTATCCCACCATATGTTATAAACAACATATTTACAAGAGAAGAAGAATTAGATAACAAAACGCCATTTTTAAATGTCTTAATCAGGAGAACCAACGCAGGAAATTTAGGAACACAAGTATATAGAAAATCAACGCACACAGACCAAGCACTCAACTATAGTAGTCATAACCCAATTTACCCATAAAAGAAACTGTGTGCAGACATTGTTTAAAAGAATTCAAACATACTGTAGCACTCCAGAGTTGAAAAGAATGGAAGAAACATACCTACAAACGGTCTTCAAGAAGAATGGTTATCCACAAAATTTTATCAAAAAGTGTTTAAAGTCGAATCAAAACACCAACAAAGAACCATCATCAAAGACCACAAAAAAATTCATCCTACCATACATGAGAAATATCTCTGAAATAACAGCTAGAACACTGAAACCGTTGAAATAGATATGGCACACAAGCTGGCCAACACAATCACTTCATTCGATATTGTGCAAACGAAAGATCTAACCAAAAAAGGAGATAAAATTACCATTTACAAAATAAATTGTATGAACTGTAATAGACATAACATCAGCCAAAGTGGCCGACCCCTTCGAATCAGAATCCAGGAACACAAATCAGCTGTGAAAAGACACGACATATATTCTTTCATATCAATGCATATAAATAATGATGGATATCAGTTTGTTTGGGATAATGTGGAAATTTTAGACAGAGGAAACACCAAAAGTGCCAGGGAATTCCTAGAAGCCAGGTACTCAAACGAATATGCAATTAACAACATGTTAATATAGACCAAATATACCAACTAATAAAAAGTAAATCATGTGACCAGAAATTTTAAAATCCAAGTCAATAAAAAATGACCAATACATATGTTAACATGGTTAACGGGAGACGCAATTCTATCACTCATGGAAAACTTAAATCAGTCCCCTTTACGCTAAAAATCGCGCTGAAGGTGTTGTCCAGAAGGACGACGAAAGCTACGCAATTAAACCAACCAGCTCAGAGAACACTACTAATTGCAAATAATGTAATTTTTACCTTGAGTCTTTACCTAGAGTTTTATCTAACACCAAAAAAAGATGTTGATATACCTGAGGTTTCAGACGGTGTATCTGTGGGGGCATTATTTCACAGTAGTTCAAGTAGGGCAAAGCTCACTTCTGTGCAATGATGCCGTAGGTATATACTGATGAAAACTCCAAAAACTAGGACAAAACAACCATCCAATGCACTCTATTCTTTTAATACTTCTCTAACTGATATCGACTCGAGATAAAACAGACACTGGGATTATTATTATTATTACTATTCAGTTTTTGAATTACACATGGATAACTTACCTCGAAACGCGGGAAAACAAAAGGCATATCAACCCCATGATTTACTGACCACCACTGTAAATCTGATTCAATATCACATTGTGAAATACTGTGTGCTAATTCATTGTAGATCGAGTCATAGCTAAAAAAATTAAGCAATTGGACAAATAAGACAGCTTTAATAATAATAATAAATAACAGAAGCAGTTTGATGCACAATAAAATCAAACTTATAACTGTTATTTCCTATCAATAAATTATTTATACGTTTAGGAATAAATCTTCGGCACCGTTACCATCCATGCGTGTAATGTAGATATCACTGTGTATATGGACTCGAAAAAGAATGCTGAAATACTACTAGTAGCCAATTTACGCATGTATTTTATGTAAAGGCTTTGTATCTCACTTTCTCAATAATAGAACGAAAAATTACACTTGGCTAAGTGTACTATCCGCAGTCCAGGCTCTACAGTAGAACTTGACTGCGAAACGACGAGTGGGAAGTCTGAGGGTGACGTGAAAGAGACCGGTGTGAGGAGGAGGTGGTCAAAGACTATGAGCAATCGTAGGGTCAGCTAAAGAGGACAGCAGAGAATAGGGCAAAGTGGATATGAGCTCCACTCGGAACCGAATCGAACAATAATAATGCTAAGTACTATCCATCAAGTCTTAATTTTATGCGCAGAACAAAATGATTAAAAACCCGAAAAGGAAAGTTATAAATCAACAGCACAAGTATGCAACTTACTCTGCTTTAGCACAAACATTCAAAGCATTATGCAGATTATTAAATGTCTCCTTGAAAAAGCAAAGACGCTCCCTTTCAAAATCTTGTGTTCGAGTAAAAACCTGAAATTAGAAGAAAAATTTAAAAAGGTGCAAAGAATGATTTTTAATAATCTGTCTCTTACGATGATCCAAAAGTCAAAGAAAAATATTTTCAAAAAAAAGGGATCAACAAAGAAATATTTTCAAATGATGAAATGAATGCAATTCAGTTTACAGGCGGATGTTTGTGCGCTATAAATTAACCTTCTGAAACTTGACACATCAAACAGGGTTCCAACACACAATCAACTTTCTAAGAGTTTATCACCTAAATCAACAAGCCATGACTCTAATTACAATAAGCAGAGAAATCAATCATTACTACCCGCCGTCTATTTCTGCTAATATTTTCCTACAAATACCACTTTAACATATTTTAGGATATTTTGACGAAATAAAAAACTTTGCAATTTATCATTTCTTAGATCTGATAAAGAATGTTGGTCAGTGTGAAAATACTTTAAAACAATGGCATAAACAAATACGTATGGCTTTCTTTAACTTAACTTTTAACTTTACTACAAACACACCAACAAACAGCATTAGATGATTGAAGGCGATCAGCAGGAAGCCTTGCTCGACCTACATTTCGTGCTAGTTGGCACTCACTATTCAGTAAGGCGTATCTGCGACCTCGGAGGAACTCATGTCCCTTCTGAGATTCAAACCCGCATCACCCAGTGCCGCCTGCATTCATAGATGTTACCACTAAGTTATTTGGGTTAGCGATTGTATTGGATATTTTTGATTGGCTACATTGCAAACTTGACTGATAGAATTCAGTCTGCATCAAAGATAGGACTAGACACATTACGCTAGTTACTGACTAGTGTCCAAACGAAAACAACAAACAGCACACTTATCATTAGATTTAATTATAGATTAATTAGTAATAACAAATAATCAATATTTCAGGAAAGAGAAACTAATGTAACCAGTGATAGTATCGGACATCACTTTTACAGTCAAAAGTAACTGATCCTCTCTATGTACAGACAAAGTGTAGATCATCCTATGCACTAATACCAATAGGCTATGCACATGACAAAAAAGAAAACTGATATTATTTAACTTTGCAAATACCAGTAGGTTAAAGCGGTATTAGAATTCCCCGCCTCCTGATTGAAGGTGGATTACTTAAACCAACGGGTCACAGATATACTGAATGTCTACAACGAAGTACCGAAGAAATATAACTACAATTAAATTATGAAGATAGCTGAGAATGAAAAATGAAGAAAGTGAATAAAATAACAATTGAAATTCTTGGAATTATATTCATAACCAAGACTGTGAAGTTCATTATGATTTTTCCAAAAGAATGGCCACTGAATAAAGTATATTCTGTTCGACAACCTCTTCTTCAGCGCGTTCTACAGTTATATACACATAATAGCGAATGAATTAGTGTTATTAACAACATTAATGTTGTTTAAATAACATCGAATCAATAATAGTAATATCAGTGGATTACAGTCCGATAGCGTCAACATAACAATGCACTGAATATCAGACAAGTTAGGAAAATAATAAATAATACAAATTCATGAATTTATAGTCTCCCCTGAAAGCCAGGCCTGTAGTAGCGGCTGGACCTGCTTTCTTCTGCACAAATAGAGTTGGTTGTTTAAAGCGAATGTTAAGTCTCAGGTGTTTGAAGTATGCAATACTAGTTCATTTACTATTATAGATATGTATATAACTGTAGAACCCGATGATTAAGTTATCAAAAAGACTATCCTTTGCTCAGTAATTATCACTACTTGTTCAACGATTCATATCAGCATTGTTACTATAATATACCCACAAACTATTCACTCACGTCATTAGAGTAATAATTAAACAAATACGTACGTATACATTTTAAATTTTCATTGTAATGAAATTAAAAAAAACCCTGGATGTGAGTGAATAAAGTTTGTGTTAACGGTCGGTAGAAAAAGTCAACATGACTTACTAACAATAAAACTATCGTAGTAAGACATACTGAATATGTACATAATGAAATACGATCATTTGGCATAACAAGAGTTAATTACAAATACTGCGGGAAGCGGTTGACAGATGCTGAAGGCCACTCCACAATTCATTATTGCATAGTGGAAGTTCCTGTATGTAGTCTTTCTTCACTAGCACTTTCACAACTACTGATATAGAAAATACTACACTGTTTAAAGTATTCACTCTGTCTAGTTATATGTATAACCAGTTAATAAGGCAAGTGATCTAGGCTATAAGTCGTATGTTTGAAGTGTGAGTGTTTTGTGTGTGAAATGGGATTTCAATAACCATGTGCTTTTATATCATCTATGATTAATTAAAGAATATGCGAATGTTTTACTGACCTAACACTTCTGAAGGTTTAATTATGACTGAAACTATTTATTATAATAAGATCACAACGAATCCTATGATAAATAACTCCTTTAAGCCACTATAAGCATTATAAGCGAAACAAGTGTCGTAAAATGAATGCTGCAATTAGAGAACATAATACTTATAAACAATCACAGATATCCACTACAATCCTACATGAGGTCAATCGCGAGCCAGCCGTAATAGCTCAGTGGCAACGTCTCTGACTGCAGGCGGCAGTGGGTGACGCGGGTTCGAATCTCAGAAGCAACATGAGTCCCTTCAAGGTTGCAGATACGCTTCCTTGCTGACGAGTGCCAACTATCACGAAACGTAGGTCGAGGAAGGCTTCCTGCCGATTGCCTCCAACCATCTAATATCATCAAATCAACGTGCACCGTGATGGCGAGCTACCTAGAATGGTGGCCACATTACAACCTGACTGATAGAATGCAGTCTGCACCAATGACAGGATTAGACAAATCACACTAGTTACTAGTGTCAAATCACAATGACAGATAATTTAGTGGATACCTAGAAAGGTGTACAAGAACATGGGCCCAATGCATTATCTAATATACTATTATTTTATTTTTAATGATATAAAAACTATGTATAGATAACCAGAAAGGTCGGGTAGTAAGAGAATCTAAGCAAGTTACCACAAAATGAGTAGTACAGAGAGCTATGTAACAAAACAACACACAACTCAATGGATGAATTGTGATATTTGCTAGACAGAACGCATTGTTTCATTTCATTTATTCACTAGACAACTTTTGGTTATAGCTTATTCTCAAATTTGAATCCATAAGAATGACAACCTTCTTTATTATAACAGAGGATTCAGTATGCAACTACAGATAAATATTACTAACTCATCCATTTCAAGCCTATATGTACTGACAATAAGCTGAACATTGTGCGTAAGCTCAGTGGGAACTCAGTTACTTAGAAAACTTTTTTTATACTACAGCCTATGAGCCACACACACAGGCTTATCATGTGAGGGCTGAAGATACTACCAATCGCCTTAGTTGAAGCGGGTGAAACGAAATTCAAACCCTATACATATTGTTTTAAAGTCTAGTGCCAAAGCCAATAACTAACATCTCTACTACTATATATAAAGTCTTATAATATTATACGGCTGCTACATTCAAAGTAGAACTGAGGTTGTGAAGTTACACAGACTGAGATGGTTAGAAAATGTGTTACGCGTGTATTCACTCTTTGTAATTTATAATATTCAATCAAATTCTATTGTTCTTCCATACTACTATTCTTTTTGCCTCATATTTCTTTTTTATTGTCTCTCTTTTGAATCTTTCTTTACTCTCCACTTGCTTTGTGTGCTACTGGAGTGTGGTAACTTGAACTGCTTCCGTTCTACTTTGGAACCAGTCAGTCAGAAGTAGAACCGATTTGAACACACAACTCCCTTCACCTAATTTCTTCTGATCTAAACTCCACTTCCTGGACTTTTATCTGGGCAGCCAGATATATACAGTACAACTGAACAGTTACAGCACAAAGCTTACATATGCGCCTATAACATGTCACTGAGTTGCATTTTATTACCACTAACATGGAGAGTTTCAGCGAACTTTAGATAAATGACTATGTTCTTAATAAAAAAACGGTACATTCTGGTTTGATCGATCCGTTTAAATATTGAATGAAAACCCCCATACAGAGAGATAGCATAGGCATCTTGGAGATTTTCAACTTTCCGCTTAGCTTAGAGATAATAACTTATTTCAGGCAAAGGCATTACCGACCGTAATATTTCCACTATCCCTTATAGGAAATCTGCTTAGGTAACATTTTTATTATCACTTAACTGACGCATAAATACAATGTTTGTGTAAGTCTATAAGCGATACAGAGATAAGCACCTCTGCACATATTCCCTACAGCTGCTTATCAGTTGTTTAATTTAATCAAAATGACAAATGTCAATGTTGGAAGATACAAAAATCCTAATAAATCAATTCAATAAAGACTAAAGTACTAAACCACGACTGTAGCACAATAATAAAAAAATATACTAACCCCATTATACCAAAGATAACAATAAACATAATAAGTTGTGTAAACAAAGCGTTAGTGTGAAATTTATAACTCCATCGGTACATATATATATATATATATATATATATATATATATATATTCAATCTTTCAGATTTAACAGTGGAGTCCTTCTTAGGTTGTACTACTTTCTGTCATATGAATTTCAGTGCACCTAGGAATATAAATTAACTGTTATTGTTTGACAATTAGACAGATAATGGTTGATAAAACGAATTGAAACGAAAAACTATTGAAAAGAAACACTTTGTCTTCCCAATGTATGGTATGCCTGCCTCTTAGAAGAGTTGCATTCTATAGTGTACAAGTTAATCAAGTCTTCATAGCTGATAAGATATTCCAATGACAATTGCAGTCACTGAAATGAGTAAAGCACACTTTCACGTATAATGAATGGTAATGTGAGGACAATGATTACCATTGGCCTATATCTTCAGTTGTATAAGGAAAACTAAGGAGTGTATGGTTTACAAAGCAATTACTTAAATGTTTGCATCAGTTATTTGATTTCAAGCTAACGAAAAGGTAGATTCAATAAAATGAATTGGTTAGATAGTTAGTCATTTTTGACTTAGTTCCCCCGAGCACAGTTTTCAGGTACCAGACTATCAGCAGCAGTTATCGTGTAACGGTTGGGGATGCTACACAGTTGCTCTAGTTGGTGTTCGTGGGCCGGGATTCCAGCTCTGAACCTACTGCATAAAGTCAAGTAAGTATTCCAGCCAATCAGCCACATCTCAAATAAACTGATGAACTGCATCCCCGTAGAAAAAGGAATATATGTGTGCTGATTTTCGAATGCCCACTGACTTTTTCCTGTAATATTTAACTGTGTGATAATATACAGGAAAAGACAGCGATTGTTTGTATCAGATGGTTGGAGGCAATCGCTAGGAAGCCTTGAACCTAGGTTTCGTGCTGGTTGGCACTCACTAGTCAGTAAAGCGTATCTGAAACCTCGGAGGAACTAATGTACCTTCTGAAATCCGAACCCACGTCACCCGGTGCCGCCTGCAGTCAGAGACGTTGCCATTGAGCTATTACGGCTGGCTCGCGACTGACCACCTGTAGGACTGTATTGGATATTTTTGATTGGACACTAGTCAGTAACTAGTGTAATGTGTGTGTCTAGTCCTAGCTTTGAAAAGTTGTTCCTTCACGTTCCCAGTGGAACATAGGGCTTCAAGCTACAAGCTTGAAGTTTCTGTAAAAGTGTTTATTTTACAGGATGGGGTTGCTAGCCTCATGCTCAATCTTCCCTCTTTACTAATCTTATTACTGACTTGACGAGGTAAAGGAGTGCGCCGGCCGGGGATCGAACCCCGGACCATGTGCATGGTTGACAAGCGTCCTAACTGCTGTGCCACCGACGCTCAGTCCTAGCTTTGATGCAGACTAAATTCTATCACTCAAGTTTCCAATGTGGCCACCAAGCTAGGTGGCCTCCTCCAACCACCTAATACCAACAATGCACAGTGCACCGTGATGACGAGCCACCTAGACTGGTGGCCATATTGCAAACTTGACTGACAGAACTCAGCCTGCACCAAAGATAGAACTGCACACACACACACTACACTAATACTGGCTAGTGTCCAATCAAAAAAGGGACTGCAATATATAACAACAAATAACAAGTACAAAGTATCAACAAGAGGAGAGACATGAAAAAAACAGAAAAACAAAATTAATTAATTCTTATTGAGATAATATCAATAAACATATAATGAATAGAGTCGTTATCTGCACGCAGATGATTTCCATAAAATGAAAAAAAATAGTGCGGGAGAGCCAACTCACTTTAGTCATCTCTTCAACGTATCGAGCACTTTCAGTGTCCAATTCAGCTATTGCTAATTTGTATGCGTTACGAGTTCGTTGAACATCTTTTTCAGCTTTTGCAAGCTTTTCTTGTATCTTTTTAAGCTATAGTAGACAAAAGAAGAGGGAAATGTTTAGTTTTAAGTAACTATCAAAACATAAAAATTTCATACATATAGCATGCATTAATCTTTACTTATCCCTATAATCTACTGTAAAAACTGTCAATAGATGACTGGTTGATAATTAAGAGAAATAAGCAGTTGTGGACTGCTAACGTAAAGAGAAAAATTTGGATACTGTGGTACAATATAATTCCATAATTATTATTATATATTATTATATCCTTTAATTCCTAGAGGAACATAGGGTTTCAGCTGGGCATCTCCATTGCCTTCTGTTTTCTGCCAACTTTTTCACCCCACTCCAAGTCTGCCCACATGCTTTCATTTCCTATTCACATGACCTCCTCCAAGTCACCCTCACACTGACGACCAACTCGCCGCTTCCCTTTCGGGTTCCATTCGAGCGATGGCTTGTCTAGTGATGTCACTTGATGGTTTCCTCAGACTATGGCCAGCCAATCCATCTTCATTTCTTCCTGCCTATTTGTTTCACAATCGGTTCCTGGTTGGTTCGCTTATTGCCAGAGATCCCCGTTTCTGATCTTTTCTGGCTGGCCATCTGATCTTGAATATTAAGCGAAGACAACTGTTAATGAAGGTCTGAAGTTTGTTTGAGATGCTCTTTATGACGCGCTGGCCAAGTCTCTGATCCGTATAGTAGCACTGACATCACATTGAAGTTCCATAACAGACAAGTTTATTTAACATATTACACAGTTGATACAGTTATTCATAACTGGATGACATTTCAAGCATAATTTATTGCTCATGAACACATAGCAAAATATGAACTGCTACTGTTAATCTGAACTTCAGCAAGCTAAAAACTAGAAAATGTTGACAATAAGTCAGTCAAGACTGACAATTAAAAAAACGGTTGAAATCAACTAAACAGTTATTTATTCCCACCAATGATTTTAATAGTTGTAGAGTTTATGTCAATTTTCCAAAATTAAACGAAAAAGAATTCTAGACAATAATAAATCACAACATGAAATCAATAGGACAAAAAACAGTTCCACAATTTTTCACACTTTTTTTATTTTTTTTCTCTTAATGACCACTAAATTTATTACATTTCTTCAATCGAGAGAAAAAAGTATCTGAGAAGTTGATCAGTTGAAAACACATGGATGAATTTATCAATTTAACACTTAACCCATATCATCATAATTTATATGAGACACACTAATTATGAACGGAACACCAGAGCAATCAAATTAATTATATTTAACACACGGATTTGAAAATATATAATAAAAACAAGAGGACGAAAAAGAGGAAAACGCGGTGAGGAACTGTAATGCAGAATAAAAATACAAAAAGTATGCTGATTGAAAACTGCCACCACAAATTATTATGTATGTTAATTTTCTTAAAGTGTTGCGTAGTAGGGCTTTGGTAGATTTTCAGGCAGATTTCGTCACACACACACACAGAAACACCTACACAACAACATCAGCCAGATAATCACAGAAAACCAGTATATCGACCGTACGCGACGTCAAGTCCACAAACGTCTTCTGGAACACTGCCCAGCTTAGTTAGCCAGAGGAGAAAAGAAGAATAGCAGCAGCTCGACTCTCGTACACCCTGTCATCTCCGGACATCGAGCACCCCTACATGAATGCTTCACAGTGGTACACACAGTCCCTCAATATCGTACAAAGAGACTTCGGATACGCAATCTGTACGTAGCTGAAGCATTAGCTATTCAGGATTCGAAACCGGACCTCTGCATTCAAAACCGATACATACATTCTCTTGCCCTACAATGGTCAGAGTAAAGTTCTTACTACAATTTTGCTTCTTTCCTTTATTATATAAGTTCACTATTATTATTATTATTACTATCAATACTTTTATTATTATTACTATTTCCATCATCCACATTTCACTACCACTCAATTACTGTTTATTAATAACGTTGCTTTTTCACAGAGATTTTATACAAAATTACTTTATAGCCCTTCCACTAGTTCCTGTCCATTCTACTCTAGCTTATTGATTAGTCATTATCTCACTCTTGTAAAAACCAGAAAACACTGGATAGCCGTTTCATCATAATTTTGGACTCATCAGTAGGACTCACGTGTAACTACAATCCTGAAGAGTCTCAAAATATGACAAAACGACTGTCCAGTACTCTCTGATTTTCAATGGTATTATATATATATACATATATCTTCGAATTATATCAGAAGAGCTTAGATATTTTAGCTTATGACTATTATTCTCAATTATTTCCAATGAATTTATACATTTTAGCACACAAAACACCAAGATGTAAGGGTGTCCAGTTCTTTCGTCATCCTACAATCAATACCTGTTAATTAGAAACAAGATGTTAGATACTGAAAGGCGAACCAATGTAAAACCTTGAGTAGCAGAGCATAGATTCAAGCTGTTATACTTTGAAGTAGCACACAAATACGAAGTAAACAGAAAAGAAACATTACAGTAGACAAAATAGCATGAGCATTTCGAAAGGACAATTTATATTAAGACTATATAATGATGATAATCAAACTTCTGATGACAATGAGTGAGCAGACCTCTGCCAGTGTAAACCATTTGGAGTCATGTCACTACCTTTTAATATCTTAAGGATCGCAGCCAGACAGCCTTTCATAGCTCACAAAAAGCAGTTCAAAAACTCTCACTTTTGTGTTGTGTTTTCGTCTGACCACACTAAGCATTTTATAAACCAAAGTGTACTTCAGCTAATATTACTTTACTAGGATTGTTACTTTGAATGTAATTGTGTGAACGCTCAAAATCTTAATCGTATTGTTGACTGTAATCACCAACACTGTGTATGGCCAAGTTAAACTTTAAGCAATACTAACTACCAATGACCTTGAATCACTCACCGAGCAGGTTGATAAAACCTGGCAGATAACGTTGTCATCATCAATAAAATCTGCTCATCGGAGTGTTATGTCATTAAATGGGATATCTGGTAGGTCTCAGCTTAGATTTGAGGAAGATTAAGTTACAGTTTAGGCCAAGGAAAAGTTAGGGTTGGGTTAACCTAATGAGGTGACATCAGGGTTGGTCCGAGTTAGATTAGAGTTAGTTTGGGGATATTTTCACGGTAGAGTTAGATTCAGGAGAGGCTAGAGTTATTGCTAGGATTAGAAGAACTAAATTACATGCGTAGAATGTGGTTAAATTACTCTGTTGATATTAGAATAGAAATTGTGCACTGTGGTAGAGTATAATTCTATTTTAGGTAACATTTATTTTGATATATGTCTCACAGTGTTACACAGTAATATTTACTGATGACCACGTTTCGAGCACAATTTATTGCTTAGTAAATATTACTGTATATATGAGACTTTGTCAAAATAAATTCTACTCACAAAGGAATTATACTCTGTTGATACTCCAACCTAAAACTGAGAGCTATTTTTTTCACATGTGAGAGGAAGGTATCCTCTCTAACACTTTCCCAGTTTTTATGCATTATTTCACAAATATGTGTATTCCATACATAAAAATGCCTCCTTCACGTGATTGGTGCGTTCTAGGTCATTCGGTGATTGGTAGCTGGTGGTGGCTAAAGTTTAACTTGACCCTGTGCATTAGAATTTTCGTGTGAATTTCATAAAACACTTGACGTGTCCCGTGCGCACATTAGAATGATTCCAAAAAAAAACTTACGAGAACTTATCAATTTCTTGAGAAATCCTTTCACCTTCACTGTATTTACCTACATGTAAGTAAGCATTTTAGAAAAGCTTACAGGTCTGGTATGCATCAGCTAAAATATTAAACTGCTTCAAACTAAAACGAAGCTGGTTAGTGTCAAATGCTTTTAAGTGACCTGCAGCATTTAAAAACCCACAAAAATTAAGGCTATCATCAGAATAATCTATTTCCTGTGAATTATTTATATTAAGTGTGTCGAGTTCGTGTATATGATCAACAAGTTACACCATACAGCTATGCTTATACACACATGATGAAAAACGCTTCTCATAAAAACCAGAAGTCAAAATACAACAATTCCTAAAACGGTTCTGAATTGCACCATTCTAGTCAGCTGAAATGACCAAACAGCCTACTCTGCAACATACATCTTAGCACACTAACGTACACACCTTGACACCACCAACTAGCACTGAGCAATTTGCAAACAACATTATACAAGGACTGTCATGAAAAGTGCATACTTTATACACATTAACCATTCATTCAGCACAGAAGATTGAAAAAACAACAAGAAAAACTAGCGAAAAGTCACTGTAACACAACAGACACTAAATATCGCAGGTCTTAAATAAACAATCTAATGTTTAAATGTCTGCCCAATTTTGTTTACCAAAACAATAAAAAGTAGTTCATGGAAAAATAACATGACAACATGAATGACTAATCACATAAGTTAAACAATTCTCCTTAAAAGAGGTTAGCATATAAGCAATGTCAGAAGTATACATGTCTACACGCAAATTTATTAATTTTCCAAAAACTAGTACATTAAAGAGAACTAATCTATGTTACTGCAAGAAAAAAAGACAGGAAACAGCTTAAACGGGTATATATATGTCATTTAATGAAGTAAAACACAGTAACAAATTTATGCACGCTAATAAAACCATAACTAGGAGTTGTCTGTGTGTGTGACTAGTACACTCTAATGCCTCTCTACTTAGACAAATTCATGTGAGTACACTTAAAAGCCACGGCAAAGTAGACGGCGAAGTTGCTTCCACACATACACATACACACTCACTACTAATTTCTATCATCTGCATACCTTTTTATGTTCTAGTTGTATCGTATAACTTCCAGTACATCTTGTTGACTGTACTCCAAGGAGAATTCAAAAAAAAATATGACAATCAGAAAAGTGCTAAAGTTGCTTTGACAAAAGTTCGTCAAATATCTAATCAATCTATAAAATAATAGTGAGTAAAGTCTGATTATTTACCAGAGAAATGTCATTACCCGTTACATACACCCCTCTGATAAGGTTTAGACAATCAGCTGACACGATTGAGATTGTAGGCGACGTAATACCAGACGTTCAGCTAAATTTATTGTGTGACAGTTGATGATGCTACCCAGTTTCTCAGGCATCCATTTTGTGAAAATCAAGTCAGTGAACTGCATCTCTACGTAATACGAAATACCTATACTCAGTGAAGATCGACTACATTAAATACCTTTCCATGCCTTAGTAACTGTAGAAGGACTCGAATCTCCGACTTGCTGATTGTAATGTTGAATCCATGAACAATTATGCCCCAGTTTGATATATGAAAAATTAAAAACCGCATGCCTTATGAAACAATAATACAAAAGATTTACTTGCAAAACAGATATTAGGATAATGCTGATGTCTCCAGTCCGTGTGGTCAAATAATCACTAACGTTTCATTGATCAATGCGGTCCGAGATTGGAAGAGATTCACAGGCTAGTGGGAAACCCAACACTAATTTCTTAGTGTTGACTTTTACACATTCTACAGTATCATTGCAATTGTTCCGACAAGTCAACTTCAAGAAGCGCTGTGTAGATAACTTTACTAGCCGCATTTCAAACAGTTAATAGGTTTAATTGAATTTGAGATTTTCCCGTCGATTGATTGGACCGAAGTGCTCGGTCTCAGGTTGACGTGTCGGCTTCTTGAGCAGATGCTTCGACGATGTCTGGGCATTTAGTTAGTATTTCATTGGTGGATGGTGACAAGAAGCTGACATGCCAACCTGACACCGAGCACTTCGGTCCAATAAGTCGACGGGAAAATCTCAAATTCAATTAAACTAATATGACCCGTTGCCCAAGAGGTGGCTCTCGTGGCCCAAGTGATCTAGTGGATAACGCTTTGGCGTTTGAAACTATGGGTACTGGGTTCGAGCCTCGGTGGGAACATCACCACTCACTGAGAAATGCAGGTACATCCATATGACGAGTCCCAAATGGGACGAAGTGCTAGTCACTATCCACCAACTAAAGTTAATATGCTTACTTTCGCAAGCCCTATTTCAACAAAAATGAAGTGTTGTTTGTTAACAGGCCTATAGTTAATTATTCATACCATGGCACATGCAACTGTTACACTGGCCCTTAAAGCCACAAGGAGGGTTTTCATCCAAACTAATTAGAAAACTTAGAAATAATAAAGCCTTATATATATATATATATATATATATATATATATGCATAGGGAGAGAGATTCCTCCCCGCCAACCATACGGAAACTAAACTAGTATAAAAGGAGGATTGTACTAAATCTACAATAAAAATATCAGTCCATTTACAACGATCAATTTCAAACAACCACAGCATAATGAACAGGGTATTAGAGCAAAGAAACACTTTACTTAGAGACGTTCAATTATCTTTATGTTTCGTGTTAACCGATCACAATCAATCCAGAGCAAGCAGTGAAACGTAACAGTGTCATAATAAAAAGAAGAAATAAACACGAAATAATGTGACTCATATTTATATGTCAAAGGAATTACTGACTGAGTTATTCAGTCATATACACGAGACACAACTGCTTAGACAAGCAGCTACTAGTGGACAAGCAGACATTAGAAAATTAATGACTACATAATGATTGAAATTATGCTACACAACTTTTATTAAAACAAAGACACCGATTTTACCAACAAAAGAAACAAAATGTCACAGGAAGCAGTCATCACAATTACTCTGACACTCAAACAAAACATAACGCAGGATATTAGGTATGACTAGAATATATCAGAAATTCAGTAAATCAGTTATCTGTTAAAATGATACCAATAGGATAGTAATCTTGGAGACTGCTTTCTATTGTAGACTAATCTTATAAAAGACAAATGGATTTTACAAATAATCATTAGGAAATTTTGTATTTAGATTTTGCGTTTATTATTGCTCATAACTAACTAGTGAGTGTGTTACGACTGTGAAGAAACTTACGCCTCTCCTACAAATGTCTATGGTTATTACGAGTTGTACACACTAAGTGTTACAAAGAGAAAAGTAATTGTCCCAATGCACTGAAGTACTCTAACGCACGCTATTTATCTGAAGAATTACTAAAACTGTCCAACAACCACTACTACATACCTTCAACTTACAGGTGAAGGATAATTAAAAAACGCCTAAACCTGAGATAATCGAATACCAGCAAATGTGTTCAGATGCACAGTGATATGAAACATTTAAACCAAACAAAATATAAAGTAAACCATAGACAGTGAAATCAAAAGCCATACTTTTGAATACATCTCTATTAGTTACCAATACTTTATGAAGAGTTAGGGAGAAAAACGAACAGTTTTAGAAGAATGACTTTGTGGAAATAGTTATCTATGTCTTATTTTGAAATTTATGAAAATGTAAGCTAAATGAACATGCGGTTATCAAATAGTAAAAATGTTTCACTGAAACAATTATTACCAAACTTTAGTGTCACGCTTAACGGTTAATTCACCACATCTGCCTGCATTCTTTACAACATTCTGTTTATTCACATACGTTGTCTTTTCCTATACCACTGAGCAGTTATATGCTACTAAATATGTGGTCAGGACAGTTAGATTTCTCTTTACCATAAATGAACATAGAGATAAGTAAGCGCTGATAAGTCGTGTAATAGGAATGAAACTGTAGATAATCAATCAACAAGTAAACCAAAATGGAAATCATAAATCCCAAAGTCACCAGTAAAATAGCACACACACACACAGAGCCAACTCACCTTTTTATCACCGTTCTACCAATTAAACATCAAAAATAAGTTACTTTCGATACTGTTGGCTTTGTAGCAAAAGGAAATACATCCAATGATGGTAATAGTTAGGTCTTCCAAAACTTCCCTACTTCACATGACAATTACGTACACATCACAAGGTTGAATTGTGATTGGTAGTGTCACGTCTGTATCTTCACGCACACACACACACGGGCGTTTCAGGATAAACTCCTGTTATAACGATTAGACAAGTGTTCAGAGCAGTGTTGTGTATGCCACGTTTGATCAACTTTTTGATAAACCTTTCTTCTTAACACAAACAGTATGTTATAATGGAGATAGTTTATTAAGCCTAATATTCTATACAACCCTATCTATCATTTAAAAGTCCCACTATACACAGAACAAACCACATACAGTAAAAAGACGTCGAAAACTACTATATCACAACGACAGGAAGCAATATAAGAATGCTCAACTAGACACAATCAAGAAGCCACGTCTAGTGCATTGACTTCTGAATAAAATCTGTAATATTATTTGAGGTTTACAGAATATGACAACTGTGCATAGTTTTCTCAACTGTGACTGACTATTAAGTAGCTCGAAAAATCTTAACTGGTAACTAATGCCATGTTATTTAGTTGGCGAAAGTAGTATACCAGTTTGGTAGCCAAATGGAGACCACAGTCAGTCAGGCAATTGCATTGGAGACGAGACTTTGGTTACTTTCCAGCAACTAATCAATGGAATTTACGCAATCTCAATCATGCTGAAAAATTTCAGTGGTAACATCTCTAACTTAAGTATTGAGTGATGTAGGTTCCGATCGTTGAGAAAATCTTTTTTCTTCGAACACATAAACATCCTGCCAATGAGAGCCAACAAGTTCCAAGGATTGCTGTTTCAAAAAACTGAATAGCTATCTTACCTGGATAATACATAAACCCCTCTTCTCCATTGAAAACTAATTTTAACCTAACAAAGGTGAAATGAAATGGAACCAGTACGTCTTTACGATTCCTGTAGATCACTCTGGAGTAATCTTGAGGATGCAGGTTTACGATCCTAACGTGACCTGAGTTTTCAACTGACTTTAAGTCAAATCATCTCCATTAAATGAAAATTTACACTTGCACACTAACATTTCGATCCATTTCAGACACTTCATTTAGCAAATGTTTTGTATCAAATGAATAATGTGACTAGTTAAGAGTGTTTAGAATACAGAACATTAAAATTATAGATTAACACAAGCTGAGTTTTACTTGCGATCAATTTTCCCTGCGGACAAAGCAAGCTGATTAGATAATCTAGTATTAGATTACTGAAACTGTAATTGCATAATACACAGTTTGATTATCAAAATCAATAATTCACCTGTTCAGCCGTACCACTTGGGTCATTTTTTGCGTTTTGAACTTGAACTTGTAGCGATCTTTCTGTTTTACATGCCTGATAATACTCTTTCTTGGTGCAATGCGCTCGCTTTAAACGTTTAGCCCACAATTTTTGTGCCAATTCGAAATCTTGATCAAATTGTTTTGTTTCCTTTAAATTTTGTGGTGGTAATGAACTCTTGTGAAAGTGTTCCTTTTGCCAGTGCTTAAGACCTGTTTGTATTTCATCCAGAAGGATATTGCGTACATTCTTCAAGCATAATTAGAAGAAAAATAAAATTATTTAACACACTTCATAGGATGACTAGCATGAGAATAAGAAAAGACAATAACCAATCAACTCATATATTTAAAACAACTCTGTCCAGTTTGATTGTAATCGTCTCTTAAACGCCAACTGGGAAAAATGCGAAATGTAAAATTTAGGCTTATATTATGAAACTACTGGTGAGATTTCACAGGCAAAGCAAGATGACTACACATTATGTATATCACGACCATTTTCACCAACAAAGTATACAGAAGTTTTATATAAGCTATCAACCTAAGAAACTAGTACAAACTTCGACTGTTGGTTTGAGTTGCATAAATCAACAGAAGTTGTCTTATCAGTCTCTGTGCTATTCGTCAAGAGAGAAGTTAGTCCTCTGTATTTATTCAGTATACCTTTACCTAAACCTTTGAGATATTACTTATTACTTAACGAGTGCCTGTTTTGGAAGTTGTATAAACCGAATGGTCTATTTCTTGACGAAATCTCAATGAAGATATAGAGGACTCGTTTGGTATTCGACAACTGGAGCCAGATTTTGCGCCAACTTTGCATCCAGCTACCCATCAAAGTGCGTGTATGTATTGTGTCAAAGTTTAGTCTCTCCTAGTCTACGTTTGTGAGAAATAGTTGTTGAAAGTAAAACAGAAAGATTCGAGGCTTGCAACCATAAGCATCTTTGTATTTGTTTAAACTGGAGCAATACGGTAAGTGATAACTACGTGAGGCATAAAGTGCAAGGCAAAGAAGGGATGTTGACTGATAAGGTTATGGAACCTGAAAATACTCCCTTCCTTGACGAGAAGTTTTAGCTAAAATAAAACTGCGCTAAAAGGAGTTAAGAGTGACCAGACCAAAGATGGTATTAATCCAGTATCTGAATGGAAAGCATGGTCTGGGGTACTCAGTATGTTAGAAACCAGTGATTGACGATTCTTAATAACAAGGCTCAAAATTACTCACAGATGTATTTACTCCTTACTGTTCTCCAGCTTTTGAGAATACTCACTGATCCCCATGTAATTATTCTCTGCTAGATATGTTCCACTATTGTCTCACTACGTTTTCGTCCTAACTTTTGTGTGCTTTCTGGGAGTGTAGAACCTTTAATTAGTCCAATCTTGTGATTTTTTACGCCGTTAAAGCAGTTAATTTGCCGTTATGTTATATAGGAACGTGTACATGTTCAAAGTCGCACCATTCAACGTAAGCTTTTTACTCGATATGCGAGATTTATTTAACAATTAATACCAAGCTGCGTTAAGTAAGTAATAAACAGTGGTATACTTCTGCAGTATCCAAATGTATTCCTAACACCTAAACGTGATACTAACACACTTCTGCTGAACATGAAAACTAACATGAGTTCCTTACAAATTAAATGAAACATGATATCAAGGTTTTTTTGCCGAATATTGTCTATTTCATTTATTTAATAAGCCAAATTATTCTCATCGCATAAATGGACTCTACCATGAAAGATTTATCCATCACACTACATCCTATATCTGGGTAACTAGTGTGGCATCAAAACGCCCATCGAAAAACGTCATTCTGTACACTAGTTTAACTATACTCTGATGAAATCGAACATGAATATGAAGAAGTTTAAGGCAACTGAATACAAATGTTCTTAAAGTAACCACAGTAAACAATGAATTGAGCAATCGAAAAGATTTATAAGTCTAAGTGATAATAGTAAACAAGCATACCATGCGAGGTTAGACTGATTACGCAAATTAGACTATTATGGGGTAATATAATAACTACAGTGGAAATCAGTCTTTTAAAGTGAAAGACGTTACTAGCATGCAGCCGACAATGACTGATCCTTTGTGTGTGAGGGCTAGTGATAATACCTAGTAGCCCAAACCTCGGCAGGTGGGACGGCGTCCAAACCCATGAGACTGGTTGGAAATCAAGCACTTAGAACGATGAGACACAGCTTCACACCTATTAAGACACTAGACGAAGAGTGCTTGTGAAACCGCTCGCCGACTTTGGGGTAGGGACCCACTGGACGAAGACCGAGCGTATAAACCATTGTGCTTACCCTGAAGGTTAGTTATGCCGACACTTAGATAGTTTACTTAGATACTCGCTATTACATTGTGGAAGTAAGGTGCAGGGTACAGGTTGACACACATGAAAACACACCCTGGAAAACCAAAATTCTTAATAAAATATGGTACAATGTCACGGTAGTTAACAATGAAACAGTGTTCGGTATGTTAGTTGAGCAGAGGTCATGATCTCCTAACCAATACAAAATATACCTCTATCCTACAATAATGAATGAATATTTTCGGGAAACCAGATCAAAACTATTGTAGTATGTACGTGAACATGAAAAAAACAAGCGTTTTATACAACTTTTAAGAAGCTACACATTACAAAAGCAATTACTAGGTGAATATTTGATATTGCCTCTGCTTCTTTACATAGTCCTCTCCAGGGACATGATCCAGTTCCATACTCTAAACCCGAATCCAGAAAACTGAGCCAGCGAGCAGACCACTTTTTAAGATTAGATGAGTAGGCTTTCTCTAATTCTGCACGCTCCTGGATCATCAAGCATAATTCACTACACAATTTGTTTGCACCGTCCACGCGTTTGACTGTTCTTTGATATGCTCTACATTCCCAAAATGACGATCCGTTTGAGCAAATTTGATCTTCAAATTCACCATTTCCAGTCATAACTAGATTGAGAGCATATGTAACAATCGAAAATATTTCTACTTGCGCGCTAGTTATACTGGATCATGAATTCGACAAGACAAAGCAAAAATGTACTTTTAATGTTAGCATTAATTTTTTAAATCAGTTAGGCTCAGTCTACCAGAATACCACCTAAATACTATTCTGGGAATGTATAAATTTGATTTACAAAAATTTTTAGGTAGATATCAGACACCTAACATCCAATCTACTTCTGACGAACTTGTGTAAACACTATACTTCTTGGGGCTCTCTTCTTTTGGTTTTTGAGAGTTTTCAGGTTTTTGAAGGGTTTCAGTGCCATCCGTGTCACTGACCTCTGTACCTCTCCTGAACTCAGTATGATAAGCTGTATAAGTTTGTTTTGCAGGACTCTGGCGCTATACAGACCCTATATTAACCCTAAGCGTACGATTATAGATTTAATTCACTTAACTGTGTTATACGTGTGAGGAAAATAGTCTTACATATGCTTGTGAAATGTTCGCTAGAGTATTACTAAACACTGGTTTTCGTTTGTAACATATATTTCGCACGTTTACAGACCTTTTACATTCGACTCGCACTACTGGAAATTTGGTTTCTTTGACAATACATCTCGTCAAGTTTTTACTTCTGCTTCTTAAAACAACGCTATTTGTCTTCGGCCATGTGTGGTGTTTAGCACATCGTAAAACGTGAGAACTTGGATATACTACAACATTATATCCGGAATCATATTTATTGCCCTAAAACAGCTTATAAGACAATGAGCTCGATAATTCTTTACAAACAACCCTTTGTATGATGAGTGGGCCTAAAGTACCACATTTTCCTTTCAAAGAACAACCCCCATACACTTCTCTGACAAGGCCTTGCTTAAGGAGAACGTACGAGGATATATTTTTCTTCCACCGAATAACCTGCAATACTTTCTTCCCAATAACTCTAAAGTAAAAGTAATTAGAGATTTGAATGTCTTGAATGACGTAAGCTGAAGGCATTGATGATATAATAAAAAAGTTCAAAATTTAGTCGCTAATCAGAAGCGGGAGAGCTGCGAGTTTCATTAAGCAGCTCGCTTTCAAGCAAAGTTGGCGAAATAACTGAGCTTAGCGGCCGTATTATTATTATCGTTTCTTCAAATTCCTAGAGGAACATAGGGTTTCAGCCGCGCGTCTCCACTGCGTTTGGTTCTCTGCTACAGTCTTCACCTGGCTCCAAGTTTGCCCACATGGTTTCATCTCCCTTCACATGAGCGGCCGTAAGTAGGAACTAAATTTCTCACAGCGACTTAGTTTTATGAAGAAGAATAGCGGTGTATTACGCAATAATTTTTGACCTGCACATAAATTCATATTTGAGTAAACGCCTCTCCAAACAATTCACATAACGCTCATCAAGAACATGGTAATCAAAGACTCTGTAATCGTGCATCGTTCCCCGATATTCTGCGCTCAGCACTAGGTGCTGAACTTCACTGTTGAATTCGAATGGTCAAGTTGAAGTTTCACCGCTAAGCATCCACACCTATCGGGGCGCTGTTCTGTTGCCCTCGGTTGTTCGTATGTGAAACCCCAACTGGCTAAACAATCATCATTACACCGCAATTCTGGACCGGAAATTCATCCCGTTCATACCTACTTTAGGTTACATGTGCCAGGCTAAAGAGTTCACAACTAGTGTGGCCAGAGCTGAGGTCTGGCAGGATAGGTGGCCACTCACCAATACTGAGCGTTATTTCTGGTTTAAACCAAATGGAAATGACCTCGAAATAGTGCAGACAACCTCGCTGTTTGATTGACTAGAATACGGTGCGGAATCAAGCTGTAATAAAAACATATCTTAACCGCAGTAAAAGAAGTTACCTCCTCATCACGACGATTTGATCCTGACAAGCTTCAACGAGCCAAAATTATTTCCAACCATATGCTCCTTATTGTCATTTTTGACCCTCAGGTAGTCCAAGGGCACCTCCACTTCATATGGCACCAAAAATGGCAATGATTGATAACTTACCGGTAGTTACCAAGGTCTGCGCTTGAAAACCATTCCATACTGCAATCTATTAATGCACATACACTGCGTGACTAAAGCAATGCTGGCACAACGATTGTTTCGAAAATAGACTCATTTGAACCGTACGGTCGAATTCCTTTTGTGCCAGAAGACATTCCATAAACAACTATAAGCTCAGCTTTCATACTGCTGGAATTCTCGCTCGTGCCATTCGGTCTCCATAATGCAGCACAAGTATACCAACACTTCATCATCTTGACATTGTATAAGCTTACTCAGACGAATAATACATAGAGGGTGTGAATAGGTAAAATCACCTTCTACAGACTACGCCGTATGTATTGAAATGTGTCAGCTGGTAGTGGAATTACATGAATTTATTGGCCGTACCACTGACCCGAAAAGGTATCCTCCTACTGGCCAGAAAAGTCAAAATAATATTAAACTTTCCGGGAACAAAGGCTATGAAACATCTTCGAATTTTTAATGATATGGTAGGTTATTGCCGATGGTTTATCCTCAGCCAAGCCGCCTTATTCCAGCTGCTGACAAACTTCTTTCAAGGAATAAAAATCTTAGACCTCAACGTGTCTGCCAGAAGCACACTCACCAAAGCAGATATAGGCACCGTCATATCGCCCCACTTAGGTATCAGAATTCAATGGTACCCTGAAGTACCTCAACTGAAGTATGTGATACTGCAATTATGCAACAACTGGTCAACGAGGATGCTGCAAGTAAAAAGGACAAGGTAGGGTGAATTGAGTAAAGAAATTCTGTCTATGTGCTCAGCCAGGAGTCACCTCTGGCGGAGGTCACGAATTCATCCCTCTCAAATGCCAAAAATTACTCACTATTGTCTGAACTCAATTCTAGGTAGGTATTTATCCAAGGGGTCACGCCGGCGAGATCATGTTCCAGAATTTATCTCCGATATTTTATAATAATAATATATTCTCAGATTTTGTACGTGAGGGAAGCCAGTTTAGAGGAACAATTAATAAAATACCAAGAGCAAGTGTCAATGTAGTTGAAGATTGAACGATCAATTCACGGTTGTTTGCTCAAACCCAACTCCATATTTTTCGCGGGAGTCATCGAGACTGCGGTCATCGTTCCATTGTTCGCCGTTCGTTGGAGGACTGAGAAAAGCTATCAGAGGTTTTATTGTGGTTTATTGTTATGACATTTATTCTTAGACTTTGTGTACAATAACCTAATGGTTGGCTCTGTATAGTGCAGGAATAAACGGTTCTTGAGTCACCAATTTGTTTTCTGGTTTCTCGCTTTGGTTATTGAGCATAGTCCCTGAAAGTCTTCCAAGGACAGTGTGAAGTCCAGGGTAGTTAGACCTGGACATTGGCATTTTATGATAGTTTCTGATAGTTCTACTGGAATTATTCGTATTACTTGTTGTCATTTCGTCTTTCCCCACGTCTGCAAGTCTTCCTTGGACAAGTGTTATATGGAACTTTTCTGGATTTTTTGGTCAAGTTCAATAAGCCTGGGTCAAAGAAAGGACGAAACGATTTGAAAGCTGACAGGAAAGTAACTAATGATGAGTTGCCTGTTATATGTAATGCTGTGTATGATGCTAAACATGATAAGATTGATGTCCGTGTTTCGCCATCTAGTGAGAATAGAGGTTTTAAAATTCCTGAGTTTGAACCTCGGTACTTTCCCGGAAACCCAGCCGACTAGCCACAGTTTGTCAGAGTTTGAGGTCACGTTGAGTGGTTTTGTTTAAATGACGAAATGAGGTTAATGTGTTTGTTGAGGTATTGCACTGGTGTTGCTGCTGCCATACAGTGCTGCAAGTTTATGTCCCCGAACGAAGGACATAAAGAGGCTATGAGTATATTACGTCAAAGGTATAGAAACCATTTATGATATCCCGTAGTATTTTTGAGACAGTGAAAGGTAACGGATCACAGTTAAACGATAATTCAGAAGAACTCGCAGAGTTCTTGGACAGTTTATTGGTATTTAGAAATACTCTTGTGTCTCTTAATTGCGTAGACGAATTGAATTCAAGTTCCGTGCTTGGGAATGCTGCCAAGAGATTACCTGTTTGTTTGCAAAGAAAGTTCGTGAAGATCAGCTCCCATCTAGATTAGGAGGGTTTAGAGTCCGTGTTGGAGGGTGTTGGGAGCCTGGTGAAAGACAGTTTCAACCAAGCTTTGAGCGAGTTTGCTAGTATACAGCATCCCACACCTTGAATAGAGAAATCAGAGAGTAAAGCGCAAACATTTATGACGGAAGGGTCTCAGAGAAGCGGATATCGAGAAAGCTATATGGTGTCTAGTAATCCGTACAACCTTAGTGAGTGTGACAGCTTTCGTGGGACATCCCCAACAGAAAGGGTACGAGCTGCAAAAAAACACGGTTGTGTTCGCTAGAATTGCATATAAAAGTGACCGGTGAAACAGTGAGCAAGTTTAGTGGAAAGCCATTGTTGAATAGAGTATCAGTGACGACACCGCAATTTAGGCAGAAGAAGATAGTTACAGTTTCAGAGTCCATTTCTGACTCCATAAGTTTACAAGGTATTACTACTCACAGTGAAGGTATAAAACCTTTAAGGATTTGTGAGGAGGAACCCAAATCATCTACTGTTGTTATGAAAGAGTTTGAAAATGATTAAGCCGATCATACAAACGGCTGTAAAGTGGATATTTGCGACAATGGTCATTATGGAGCACATTTGTATTTGACTGACAATGATGAGATGAGGGGAATCCCTAATACCACTGAGTTGAACAGAGGTCCTGTACAACTTGAACGTGAAGTAGAATTAAAGGCAGATGCGGTTGCAGAGGGTATGTATACTCGTGAAATCATCAGTGAAATTGATCAGCATGCAGCCCAACTATTGACAAGTGTTGAAGCTGAAATGGAGCTAATAATAAAAGATGGCAGTGGTGTTATTCTTGTAGTTAGACAACCTTCTAAAAGCCGAAAAACAACAGCTTCTGATCCCCCACTAAGTTCATCAACTTGCGTCACACAGTCGTCGTTGGTGTTGTCGTCAACATCGAAGGTGACGTGAATGAAGTC